CCTTGTCTCTTGTAAATTCTTTATCTTAAAGTCAATTTTATCTGATATGAGTATTGTTACTCCAGCTTTCTTTTGATTTCCACTCACATGGAATATCTTTTTCCATCCTCTCACTTTCAGTCTGTATGTGTCCCTAGGTCTGAAGTGGGTCTCTTGTAGACAGCATATATATGGGTCTTGTTCTTGTGTCCATTCAGCAAGCCTGTGTCTTTTGGTTGGAGCATTTAATCCATTCACATTTAAGGTAGTTATCAATATGTATGTTCCTATTACCACTTTCTTAATTGTTTCGGGTGTTTTTGCAGGTGCTTTTCTTCTCTTATGTTTCCATTAGAGAAGTTCCTTTAGCATTTGTTGTAGAGCTGGTTTGGTGGTGCTGAATTCTCTTAGCTTTTGCTTGTCTTTAAAGCTTTTGATTTCTCTGTTTAATCTGAATAAGATCCTTACCAGGTAGAGTAATCTTGGTTGTAGTTTCTTCCCTTTCATCACTTTAAATATATCGTGCCACTCCCTTATGGCTTGTAGAGTTTCTGCTGAGAAATCAGTGGTTAACCTTATGGGAGTTCTCTTGCATGTTATTTGTCATTTTTCCCTTGTTGCTTTTAATAATTTTTCTTTGTCTTTAATTTTGTCAATTTGCTTACTGTGTGTCTCAGCGTGTTTCTCCTTGGGTTTATCCTGCCTGGGACTCTCTGCACTTCCTGGACTTGGATGGTTATTTCCTCTCCCATGTTAGGGAAGTTTTCGACTATAATCTCTTCAAATATTTTCTCGGGTCCTTTCCCTCTCTCTTCTTCTGGGACCCCTATAATGCAAACGTTGGTGCGCTTAATGTTGTCCCAGAGGTTTCTTAGGCTGCCTGCATTTCTTTTCATTCTTTTTTCTTTATTCTGTTCTGTGGCAGTGATTTCCACCATTCCGTCTTCCAGGTCACTTATCAATTCATCTGCCTCAGTTATTCTGCTAACTGATTCCTTCTAGTGTATTCTTCATTTCAGTTATTGTATTGTTCATCTCTGTTTGTTTGTTCTTTAATTCTTCTAGGTCTTTGTTAAACATTTCTTGCATATTCTTGATCTTTGCCTCCAATCATTTCCCAAGGTCCTGATCATCTTCACTATTATTATTCTGAATTCTTTTTCTGGAAGGTTGCCTATCTCCCCTTCATTTAGTTGTTTTTCTGGGGTTTTATCTTGTTCCTTCATCTGGGTACATAGTCTTCTGCCTTTCCATTTTGTCTATCTTTCTGTGAATGTGATTTTTGTTCCACAGGCTGCAGGATTGTAGTTCTTCTTGCTTCTGCTGTCTGCCCTCTGAAAAGCCTCTTTTTCCTTGAATGTATGTGATAACATGGAAGTGGAGGGCTGCAGTTTCCACCTGAGCCATTCTTGACTAGCCTGAGAATGGACCATTCTACCCTCATTAAAATGATGGTTGCAGAACTTTTTCTTAATAAAAAGGGAGATATTATGCTTCACAGTTCAGAGGAGAAAAAACAATAACATTAACTTGTTTTTACTATAGGATCTTAATGTAAAACATGCATTGAAAAAAAGAGGGTGAGAACACAGGCAAATGAGCAGTTGCTTCTGGTTAGTCTCTTCAGTATTTGTTTCTGTCCAACTATATGTGCTTTTTGATAAATTCAAATGTCCCTACAAAGAGCGTGCATTACTTTTAAGATCAGAAAAAAATATTGGTAAGGCTGGAAAAACTGTTTTAATCAAATTCAAACAGAAGGTAAGCAGGGATAACAATATTAATGTTAGACAAACTAAATTCAAGGCAGGGGGAAAAAAGTATGCTTTTAAGATAAAGGGAGCATTACATAATGGTAACAACCACTGCTAATAGTGAAACCATTTAGATACAAATCTACAGTTGCCAAAGAAACTGACAACAAGATACAGAAATCAAACATTATTAGGAACACAGGAAGGAGTAGTCATTGTAGGAGGAGATGTTAAAACACCGTTATCAAAAAGACTTAAAAAAATAAACTCATAGTCTAGCTAAACACACAAAGTTGATGTCTGGCAGGAATTCAATTTCATGATTATAGAGTAGGGGTATCTTTTCAAATGTGTATAGAACATATACAAAATTTGTTAATACTAGTCACAAAGAAAAAAAATGTTAACTTCCTCTTCCAGTTAAAGAGAAGGTACTTCTAGCCTGGAAAAAATATAGAGGCTAGAGCTGGGGAAAGAAAACAGGGAAACAATATTAATGTAGACCACTCTGGGTTCCCCAGGTATCTCGGGGGACAGGGGAGGATGAATGGGAATTAACTTTATGATCAGACTGAAACAAATACCTCTTCCCTACTTTTTCTCACCCATTAAACATCTTCATTTAGACCTGAAGTGTGAACCACTGAAATGGTACTTAACCCAGTGGGTCTCAAAGTGTGGTCCCTACACCAGCAGCATCACTGGAGAACTTGTGAGAAATGCACATTCTCAGACCCACCCCAGACCTCTTGATGCAGAACTTCCTCCAGGTCAGGGTTCCAGGAGGTTCTGATGTGAAAGCATCTGATGCTAAAGGTGTATATAAATACCCCAGCTCCCTCACCCTTGAGCAGGTCAACTCTTGAGGGGTGGGTTTTACGCTGGCTTTGCCTTCCCTTCCTTATCCTACTTCCCCACTCCTCTAACGATGCACTTTACCTCCCAAATAAACGAATGCACTCAAATTTTAGTTTCAGGGCCTGTTCTGGGGGAACCCACACTAAGACATCTACTGGAGACCCCCATTCTCACAGAGCTTGTGTTCTGGTTGAGACTGACCTATTCTTCCATTTCTTCCTCTTGGGCTGGGTCTGCTGAGATTTCCTCGGGGAAAGGAGCCCCACTGGTAGTGAGTCCTCACCCCCAATTCAGTCCAGCACCTACTGTTTGCTTTCTTCTCTGGGTCTGCTAGCTGTTCTCTGCACCACCTCTGGTCACTTCGTTGCTTGCCCCCTGCTAGCCCTTTCCCAGCCCTATTCAGCTTCATCATTTACTCCCAGGCTGGGCTGTAACAGGGAAGAACAAATCTGACTCCATATTAGATCTGTTCCTTTTACTTTAACCTTTGTGCTCTGCTGCCTGTGTTTAGTCATGCTGGCTCTTCACCTTTCGTAAAAGAATGTTGTCTTTAGCCTGATATACAGGATAGCCTGTTTTCAAGGCTCTGACCTTTAAGGGTATAACACTTTTCCACTCATGTAGTGATAAAGAGTTGCAGAACAGAATAACATTTGTCTTGGAGGTTTAGAGGAACATCCTGACCTGGCCTACGTGGACAACTACAAGAACAAAGGATTCTTTGCAAACACCAAGATGTTTGCAACAAGTAATCATGGCCTTTTAAAGTGCTTTGCTGAAATCCTTCAAGGAGTTTGGGGGTTTTTTTGGCATGAGCCACCTGTCTCCTTGAATGGCCCTGCAATAAACCTTTCTCTGCTCCAAACCCTGACATGTTGGGTTGTTTGGCCTCACTGTGTCGGGCACACGAACTTGTGTTCGGTAATAGGGTGAGACTCACAGAGGGCTGGCTACCAGCCACGCCCTGTGAAACCAAGTCCTGCCCGGTACTGGGAGTCCAGCTATGAAAGGCACAGCGATCTCATGTGCTATGTGCTACAGGAGGATACAGGGAGCTGAGGCAGCACAGAGCAAGGGTCTTAGGATGTCAGCAAAGGAATCTCCCAGGAAGTGACACAGAGGGGACACCCGGGGGACGAGAGGGATTTAGCCAGCAAACGGAGGGGGGGAAGTAGGAGTCAGGATTCCCTGCAGAGGGTTTGGAAGTACTTCTGAAGCCAGAGGTCTGCAGGGGCACACAGAGAGGCTGCAGAGAAGGCCACTGTGAGCCATGACTTTGCCAGCTGACTTAGAGGCTTCAGGGAACTGAAAGAACCTCCTTCTCCCAAGAAGACTCTCCACGTAAGTTTTAAAATAAGAATGTGAAAAATCCAGCAATGACCCATGAGTCCTCAAAATTTGGAGGCCCGGGAGATGGTGGTGCCCTGATGGGTGTAATGCTGGGTCCAGACCCACTCACACACTTCAGTGGTAACCATCAGCTGGTTCAGAAGGGTCCGGGGGCCGATGAAGCGTGAGCTCATTGGAGCTGCTGAAGACATTCAGGTTTCCATCAGGACCCATGACACTGTCCTGCCTCTTCCTCACCCTCTCCTGACTGGGGAGCACGGGGTCATCTTCTACTGATCACACCGAGAGCAAGGGGTTCAGCTTGCTCCTCATCTTCCAGTTGCTCTGAAGATAAGCCTCCCTGGCCTTAAGCACGCACACTGGCTGCCTTTCTTTGATGTCATCGGCTAGTGCGCGTTTCTCCCTGCAGTGAATTTTTTAGGCTGGGATCCAACACAAAGGTACAATTGGCCAAAGCAACCCCCCTACCACCACTTTCACACGAGGCCTCCGTCTCCGAGGACTTCAAAGGAGTTTTGATATTGTCATATAACAAATACAAAAAGTATTTGTTATATTTTTTAATGGAGCCATCATTCCTAGTAGAACTGAACTCCTAAAGACCTGCAAACCCTGTGCCTTTCTACCGACAGTCACTTTGGGCACGGTGGCCCAGAGGGGAATTCTGACGTATGATCAACAGTTCCCATCACAAGACAGAATTTCCCTTTTTCTTCTGCCTCTGGCGAAAGGACCAAGGAGATGGGATGGGGGGTGGGGATCGCGGAGGTATTCAGCTCTTCAATGTCACCTGCTTCCGGTAATATGAAGAGGGGACATGAGTCCAGACACATAACAGTAGTTTATTCTTCAGAGCCCTAGAGGACTCAAGGACTAATTAACTAGTGTTTACCTGGATTTCTTCCCCCAAAACGGGCCCCCATTCTCCAGCTATGCCCCAGGGACAGGAGACACAGTCACTTGGGCTCAGGATGGAATGAAAGTGACCCTTCCCCCCGCTCACATCGTGTGCTTGCACTGTCTTCTCCAACAATTGCACGCAGGTTGGCGGCCCCATACCTTCATCACTGTTGTCATCCACCAGGATGATTTCCTTCAGCAGGTGGGTCGGTGTGTGGTTGACCGCGCTGTGAACTGACCGCAGGATCACCGACAGGGCCTCGTTCACGAAGATAAATATGATGGATATCTGGGGCAGCTCCTCGGAGAACTTCAGCTCCTTACACCTGGGGGAAGACAGCAGGGGACAGCAGAGTCAGAGGAAGGAGCAAAGCACAGGCACTGTGGCTGCACACGGTAAGGCCGTCAGCCCAATCCTGGTACACGTCCTCCCAAGGTGAGAATCGTTGGTTCCCTCTTGGCCTCTCTGGGCTAATATCTGAGAATAAAACCTAAGGAGGAGACAGTTAAGAAATCCAGCTCCACTTCTCCCAAATGTACCACCCCACAGGAAGGAGGAGCATCAGTCTTGGGCACACATCGCCTGTCTCCCAGGCTGCCACGCCCACACGCACCCCCTGGTCTCACTTCAGTGCACACCTTCCCGACTTCCCACTCCAGGCTCCCGCATTTCCTACCTCGGAGCCCACTTTGCTGCCTTCTGGGCAACTGCCTCACCCCCATCACTTCTCATCCAGAGGCAGCTGGGAGATGATGTATAAATACTCCAGCTCCCTCAGCCCTTGAGGTGGTTGACTCTGAGGGGTGGGTTTTACACTGGCTCCCAGTTTCCCCCCATGGGATTAAGCTCCATCACCCATGGTAGCAACCTGCATAACACCCTCTTAGGGGGACACCTTCCCTTCTCAGTCCTACTTCCCCTTAGTGGTGCCCTTTTCACTGCCCATATAAACGCATGCACTCAAATCTTTGTTTCAGGGTCTGCTTCCGGGAGAACCCAAACTAAGACATCTCTCGGACCTACCCAGTACCCAGCACTGTACAGGAGACCTTTGCTCTCATGGAGCTTACACTCTGGGAAAAGACATGAAACACACATGAAATGTATCATCATCAAGGAAGAGGGGCCTCTACCTGCTAGGACTGTGCTGCCTGACACACCCTAACTCTTCTTGCAAGCGTTCCTAGAATCTCCCTGGGGACTGGAAATGTGACCACCTGCCTAAGAGGTCCTCTCTTCTAATATCCAGCAACTCCCCCATACCTGAAGACAGGGTGAAAGAGAAGAATGTTTTTCAGCCAGGCTGGACTCAGGGGCGTAGGGCTTGGGCCTCCCTGGGGGCGCCCAGTGATGTAAGAGATGACTGGTACCCAGGGAACCGGCTCTGCATGACTCAGTGATGGAAGCACCAGCACTCTGGCCCGGGGAATGTGGTTTTATGCATAGTCTGAGCCGCATCAGAAATACCAAGTGCAAACAGAGCAGAATGGAATACAGAGCTAGTGCATTTCAATGCATCCCCCGCCTCTCTGTGTGAGACTGTACAGCATACGGCACAATGCGTTCCAGAGCAAAACAAAGGGAATGGAGTGAAAGGGAAGCAGCACTGAAGAGATAGCAAGAAATACAGCTGTTTTGTTATGCTGAACAGCTTGGGCTGTGTCGGGCCATATTAATCATGTAGGCAATTTTCAGAAGAAAATAAAGTTTTGCTACAATATACATTTGTGTCTCCTAGAGGAGACCATCCGGGGATCCACTGATCACGCAGCCTCATGTTTACCTCGATGCTGTAAATTCACTTCTGGGGCTGTCGAGGAGATTAGAATGGTTATTGATGGGCTCACGGGCAGTTGGCGGGGATCATCTCATTTACTGCGTGGTGAGCCGGGGGAGGAGGGCGCATCCCGGAAGGTCCCTCGGAGCCTCCCTGACAGGGCCGGCAGCCATCCTGAGCCTGGCAGGCTAGCAGCTGCTCCTCAACATACACGCGAGCACCCCGCCCGTACACACGTACCTACTCTGACATGCACTCCTGGGCCTGGTTTCCTTCTTTCTTTCTTTCTTTTCTGGCTGCACCACTCGGCATTTGGGATCTTAGTTCCCTGACCAGGGATCGAACCCGTGCCCCCTGCATTGGAAGCGGGGAGTCTTAACCACTGGACCACCAGGGAAGTCTCAGGGCCTTTTGTTTTTAAACAGATTCTGGCCCTTGAAATTAAGAAGACAAAAAGGCCAAACTGCATCGTACCAGCACCGTCTTCTCCAGCTACAGGTAATGGGGTCAGGCTGCCATTAAGGCTGAGTGGCGGGTTAAGCCTCTTGGCCAGAGAAGGCAATTCCCTCTGCTGAGATGGGACTCGTGGGCCCCCGGTCCTGCCCCTTCACGGTCAAGGTGGCCATTCAGTAAATCGTGGGGGAATCTCAGAAGCAAGAAGCTCTCTGCCACACACTGAACCTGTCACCCTGGGCACAGTGCTCATGTTTCTTTCATCTCTAAAGCTGTCAGAATAACCCTCACTGTATTTAGCTCTAGCTGCCTGGCTAAGGTCCTCATAAGGATCTGGTGAGACCAGCCTTTAAGAGCCCTGGGAAAATGCAATGTACCAACCGATGGAAAGACCAGCCTGCCTGCCCGGCCCCTCCATCCTCCCTCCTGCCTCCTCTGATCCCTTTTGTAGATTTCCCATTACCATGGGCCAGGCTTCCAGAGTTTTCATTCAACCCAGACCCTGCAGGACCCAGCCAGGACTCTGCTCCCCAAAAGGGCTCCGGGCTCCAACCTCGCCCAGCTCACAGCGATTCACCTTTCCTGTGCCCAACATCTCAGGGTTTCCCAATAGGCAGACAATAGGAACACGGTCATTATGAAAATCAACATGGTTTTGTTGCTCTACAGAGGCAGACTCTACCTTAAAAAAACCTCTAAGCCTGGCTTATGGCCTGATATGCAGGAGTGGCCACAGTATGCTGGACAGATAGAAAACTGAGGCCGTAAGCACCTGCTGTAAAGAGGAGACATAGACTGAAACATACATTACTTCCGATCAGACACCCAATGCCCAAGGCAGCAGATGAGTGCGGGAAGGGAGATTAAGGATGGATGATGAAAAGGAAACAGGGAGGCCACACAGGCCTTAGAAATACTAGAGACTGCACAGAGGAAGAGAACAGGTACGGCTCCTGCCCCTGGAGTTGATGCTGGACCAATCCTCCCTGTGGCCCGATGATGCTCAGATGGCGCTTCCAAACCACACAGATCTGAGTATCCCACACCCTGCAGACTAGGGCTGACGTGAAAGAAGCATCCCCCCCCGCCCCCCGCCATTTCCGAGTTCCTGCAGAGCTGACCAGGTGGACGGTGCTCAGTGCCAAGGTGCTGTGCAATGGCCCACAGGCAGGCAGATTTTGGGAAGGGAGCCGTCAGCTCAGCTCAGCATCCAGCCTTGTCTTTATATCATGGAACGTACAGAATCAGATACGTTTCCTGCCTCCCGACTGCAAAATCCAGGTGAATGAGAGAAACCCGGAAGGTCGTGTGGATAAAAGAACAGGTTCCAGATTTGAAAGATACCTGGGGAGAGGCCGGCATGCCACAGAAAATGCAAAATAACTAAAAATCCACAGGGCTTTGTGTGTGTCCTCTAGAAACAGACCCAGAGATGGGTCCCAGAAATCACACATTTGCTTTCAATAACTAGTCAGTAAGAAATAAACAATCTTGGGACTTCCCCGGTGACGCAGTGGTTAATAATCCCCCCGCCAATGCAGGGGACACGGATTCGAGCCCTGGTCCGGGAAGATCCCACATGCCTCAGAGCAACTAAGCCCGTGCACCACAACTACTGAGCCTGCGCTGTAGAGCCCGCGAGCCACAACTACTGAAGCCTGTGCGCCTAGAGTCCGTGCTCCGCAACAAGAGAACGCACCACAGTGAGAAGCCCGCGCACCGCAATTAGAGAAAGCCCACGCACAGCAATGAAGACCCAACGCAGTCATAAATAAATAAATTTATAAAAGAAAGGAAAGAAGTAAACAATCTTTTGTCTGAAAGAAAATGGTTGGTGGGAAAGCTATCTTAAGGTCTGGATCAATTCTAATCAAAGCTCCAGGCCAGGAGGGGAGCTACAAAGAAATTCGAGACCAGGTTCCTCTCCTCAAAGGGCTAACGAGGGACCAGATTCTGTGAAGCTGTCCTCACAGAGAAAAGACGGCAGAGACCAATAACCAACCACATGACGTCTCTTAGACACCTTACCACTGTTCATCTGTCTATCTGTCCGGGAGGCCTTCTTGAACTCCGGAACTGCCTAAGGGTAACCACTGTCCCCCCTCCCTCATCCTGATCACCCCAGAGTCACTGGCATTGACTTCACTTAGCACCAAAAGTGCCCGTGCTCTTCCTTCACTGATGCTGAGTAAGAAGAGTTTGGGAGACTGGGCCGCCTCTGGGAACGCACTAGGGAGTCAAGTGCCACGATCAAGGGTCAAGGTCTCCAGCAGGGAAGAAATCAAAGCCCAAGGAGACGCCCACGCCCTCTCAGAAGCAGAGCCCTGCCCACGAACACCTCTGAGGGAAACAAGTTCTATGACCCCAATGTGATACAGGTAAGAGGTATCAAAACACACTTGTGACCTAGTCTGCCAACCTGGAAACAAAAAGAGGACCCCAGGGCTTCCCTGGTGGCGCAGTGGTTGAGAGTCCGCCTGCCGGTGCAGGGGACATGGGTTCGTGCCCCGGTCCGGGAGGATCCCACATGCCGCGGAGCGGCTGGGCCCATGAGCCACGGCCGCTGAGCCTGCGCGTCCGGAGCCTGTGCTCCGCAACGGGAGAGGCTACAACAGTGAGAGGCCCGCGTACCACCAAAAAAAAAAGAGGACCCCAAAAGATCCCCATCATTGTAAAAATATTTAGATGCAACCTCTAGGAGACCCAGAAGATCACAGATAATAATGTTGATGATAATAACCAACTCTTCATAGTACAGGTGCCAACAACTGCTGGAAGCTTCCCTGTGCTGTACTATCTCATTTAGCATGAACAACGATCCTATAAGGTAGGCAGTATTTTCATCCTCATTTCACAGCTGAGGAAACTGGGGCACAGAGAGGTGAAGTCACTTGCCCTAAGTCACACAGCAAGTCTGAAATGCTGCAGGGGTGCCTGGACGTGAACATCACCATCTGACTTTTAGACTCTTGCAAACGCCCCTGCGTGCCCAAGGCAGGGTGTGGTAGCTACACAATTTCCAGCCCAGCCCCTTCCTAGCTAGGGGGACTTGGCTAACTGGTTTGGTCTCTCTGAGCCTCAGCTTCCTTTTCTCT